TACCTGCAAGTTTGGGATTTTTCTCTGTTTTCCTGTTTGTGTTTAGGAAAATGCTATTTTGACCCCAACATTTAAACCTCGCCCTTTTCGTGTTTATGCTCTTTACTTTTATTTAACTATGATCTATTTCGTGTTCCTGTTTGTGTTTGTAGCTAATTTATATTCATTTCCTCCATTGCTAGAAGGTTTCATTGTTAATTATAATATTACATGGATGTTACAAATGTATAACTTATTGGGTTTAGATAGTTGAATCGTGAAGGAATCGACTGTAGGCTAAAATGTAAAAGAATGTGACAATGTGTTAAGGATCCCAGTCCAGCATGCTATGCTAGAGAGAGCGAGAGAGAGGGTTGGGGTTAACATTATCTCTTGAATTCCTTATTTTTGTTTAAAGTGGGTGGAAGTTTGAGCAGAATATTTTTTAAGATGTGCCAAATACAGAATCTGTGTCAAACGGCGGTAAATACCACATTTATAGCATTAGACATGACTCTATCCTTGCCGGTGATAATTGAAATGGATTCTTTCCCATCCGTTCCCTCTAGCCACGTATGGAATAACCATTCAAATGTTTCTTGTTGTTCACCGTTGATAAGCGCACAGACAAATAAAATACTCTGTATTATTATTTTTTATTATCAACTGCAGTGAAAGGGGCCAAAGACATCTCATATTTATTGGTGCGATATGTGGTGTCATAGACAATGGCATCCCCCCAAGAAATAGACATTCTACCTTCATCATCGATTTGCATTCGGTAAAAAAATCTAGGATCTAACTCTGATTGATGCCCACAATATTCAAGAACCCCTTGAGCATCACCGATATCAAGAATCTTTAATCTCTCAAATGGTTATAACAGATACACCTACTAAATTGGCCTTTATCAAACAATGCTGCCACTTTTCTTATTAGGAGACCATGACCTTTAAGCATTTCTATTACCTGTTGACCACTTTCTTCTATAGTAACTCTAGTTGGCACAAAATGTGCCTTGTTCGGAGTCACAGTCTCATGGTTATGCTTGGGCGTTAAGGAGTAGATAATCCACTGCACGATAAAAATATCCATTGGGTTTTAAAGGTACTCTTTTGTCACATATAAAGCCCGAAGCATTCCGGCATTTTGACCCACCTGCTTGAATCATGTAGTTTACATCACCCTATATTTCTCCATTGTCCTAAATGATATGCCCAAGATACTTAAATCTCTTCACTTGTGGTATAGTTTTATCTCCAACTCTCGCCTCAATGTTAGTATTTCTCCTTCCATTGCTAAACTTGCATCCCATGTATTTTGTTTTAATGCGACTTATAAGCAAGCCATGCAACTCCAAAGTCTGTCTCCACAAACTAAACTTCTCATTTAAATCATCTCTTGATTTGTCCATAAGGATGATGTCATTGGAAAAAGCCTGCACCATGGTACGGGTTTTATATTCATTAACAAAATTATCAATGGTTGAAGTCAAATACGGAGTATCTAATTATGAGAAGCTAGTTGCTGACTATTCTCCCTTTCTTCCAGCCACGGGCAGAGAAGGATATTCTTCTTCCACGTTTGCTAATGCGTATCTAACAGAATGGGAGTTAATGTCTTTCTTAGCAATATAAAGAGAGTGATATGATTCGTTGAAGGATGTTTAGCATCTTTCTTGCATGTAGCTAGTTATTTCTGTTGTGTATGAGACCAAGTGGAACCAAGAATGTTCCTAAGAGTTAGCAACTAAAATACATCTTAGTTTTACTTTTCAAGAGGCTGTGTAGAAACCTCAACCAATCTTTTTGTTGATTCTAGATTAAGTTACTAAAGCAGTCCAATTATTATTGTTGTTGTTGTTGTTATTATTTATATTAATAATATTATTAAAATTATTATTGAAGTATTCACTTTAATTTTTTCCTCTTGGATATATCCAGTTTTGACCGTGACTGGAAAAAGATTGAAGCATTTGTTGGATCAAAGACGGTTATTCAGGTATGCAATATACGTCGAGTTATCAGCCAACCAATTCTTCTGACCTTCCATTTTATAAACAGTGTCGCTTTGTGCTGCCATGAGTCATTACCCATAGTATTTATAGAAGTTCAAGTGGAATTTTTGCAGATACGTAGTCATGCCCAGAAGTACTTTCTGAAGGTGCAGAAAAGTGGAGCAAGTGATCATGTACCTCCTCCACGTCCGAAGCGAAAAGCATCTCGTCCATACCCACAAAAGGCTCCAGCAATAACTGGTTAGCATCGTCATCTTCTCTGTTTTGATTTTCTTAAATGAAATTGGAGTAGTATATTGTTCTTAATGAGTGTCTTACAGGACCACCATCCACTCAAAGTGAACCTGGATATGTGACCAGGCCGGATCCTCTCACTGTGCCCGCAACCTCTTTAGGAAGTGCAGTCTCACGTCCTTGGACATGCAGTAGCATGCCTGGTTTAAGTGCATCACCTGCACCAAAAGGTAATATCATTCATTAAATCATTTTTGAAGTTTTCTCTATTTGGATTTGAACAGTTGATATATCTTGGATAAAGGTTATTTACATTCTCTCCTTCCTCAGATGACATACAATTATTGGGTGCTAGCTGTAGTAAGGAAAGCACTCCCGGTGTTTTAACTGCCAATGAAACCAGTGATCAAGGAAAAGACAAGCAAAACAAGGAAACCAGAGGTTAGTGTTCTTTTATGCATGTTCAGTTTGATACCTTGATTGATGTACTTTTTTTTCATTTTTTTGTAAATATGTTCTTAGGGCATCATTCTTTAGTAGGAGAGGTAATTCTGTAGATTATTTGTAGGGCGATTATTTTAGCATGTGTTTAGCTTTAACGTTATTGCATTAGCCTTATATAGCCATAGAAGAATGGGAATTACATTATCTCAAAACAAAATTGGCTATCTTCATTTCAAGATGCATTTACAATTTTACACTATGCTGCATCTATCTTTTTGTGAATTGTTGAAGCATCATCTAAGTCTTGATATCTGTTTGGTTGGTTGCAGTGGTGCCGGATTTTGCTCAAGTTTATAGTTACATTGGCAGTATCTTCGATCCAAGCTCAAGTGATCACATGCAGAAATTAAAGCAGATGGACCCCATAAATGTTGAGACGGTATGCCTCTGCTGTAGAAATACCCGACTACTTGCGTCAATGCAATAAAGATAACTTGAAAATGAGAACTGTTCCCCTCAACTTCCTATGAAGTAGTATGCTCTGTAACGGAGGAATTATATTCCATTTGACTTGTGCATATTTTCACTTTCTCTTGCCATTTATTCTGAAATGTTTGATGCTTTGTGTTTTCATTGTAGGCGGTGATGTTGATGAAGAATCTCTGTATCAATTTAGTCAGCCCAGAGTTTGAAGACGTGGTAAGTTAAAAAAAAGTTACCCATTTAAGTGTTTTTGTAAGAACTGTACGAAACGAGTTGATAGACAAAAAAACGTTATACTCATTTCATTTCAAATGAGTTGAACTATGTTCAACGAATCTCTAGCGACTACGTATCTCTGCCCAGAGAATTTCGTGCCTTTCCTAAAAGCAACTACGTACGTCTTTTTTAGTATCTGCCCCTGATTTGCCTCTATACATTTTGGTGCAGAGGAGGATGATAGTGCAAGGAACACCATCTCAGGATCTACATATCAAATCTGTTAAGCATTTAAAATAAATGCATTCCCCAGCTATATTAGAGTGTTAGGGAAGTCAATTTTGCATCCTCTTTTTTTCCTTTTTTTTAAAAAAGTTGTTGGTACTATACTATGCATAATGCATAAGATAAACTTGGTACTTTTTTTTTTTGTTTTTTTGTAATATATGTTTTTAATGTACATATATGTTGGTGTAGGGCTTTTGGTCCTAGAAATTTCGAAATAAAAACAGGGTTTGTTTTAGTGGTATATAAATAGGTTTTAGTTGTGTAATGTCTCCATAATAAAAGAGGCAGTTTTATTATTGATTCGGTGAAATGTGTGTTTGTGTACATGACTCTCTTTATTTTTTTACTAATGAATATATTGAATTTATGATTTTCTCCATCCTATTCCAAACTCATCTTTGGAGTGACTTTTGATACCCTGTATGGTTAAAATTTATTAAAAACGATATTACTCCGTATATAAATACGGAGAAACATATGCTCATTTCGTTTCAAAAATTATGAAATGTAAATATTATAGTGGGAGATTAGAGATGTGGATTGGTGACTGGTGACGCACTTCGGAATGAGTTAGAAATAAGTTTTGAAATTGATTTCTGTAAGTGATTTTAATTTATTAGAAGTATAATTAGTTATTTGAATTAATTTTTTGAAAAAAGGGATAGAAATATGGAGTAAGTTTAAGTTGAAAGTGACTATTCATGAAAATTTCTACTTCCAAATAAAAATACTTTGTGTATTTTTTCTTTTGAATTTAGTAAATAACTAATCATTTCTAATAAGTTTTTCATAATGTTGTATTGTTATCTTACATTTCTTACAAAAATACCTACGGAGTATTTTTTATTCCATACTAATTTTCAAATAAATTGAATTAAAAAAGATTCAGTCAAATCTCATAAACATGCGATTTTAAATTGGGACGGAGAGGGTATAATAGCTTTAATTGTTATGCGGAATATATGAAGAATTTTATTATTAGTACATTTTTATGCAAAAACACAAATGCTAACATAAATTTAATTATTAGAAAAATGCTCATAAAAAGTTGAATTGACCCGAACTTGATGATATTAGACCGTGAACATTATTTTTCTAACCCAAACTCTACCGAACTCACCCCAAATCAAACTTGATTGTCCAATTCAATATCTCTATATAGAGTATATTTGTTTTACTTGAAAACATTTTGATGGATTCCACAACTTTGTGGACACCAACCACATGAACTCAATATCGGGTCAACGTTGCAACTATAGTGAATCTAACAAATAAATATTGGAGTGATATTTATGAGAATATATCGGATAAAAATATTTTATGTGATAACTCAAATCGAGAGAAAATTATAAGTTTATTATAGAGTTAACATAGGAAGAGCACACAATACATAGAATAATATGCTTTGGTAGCCATTAATAGTGCTTCCAAGTTGTGAAGGGAATTGGCCTTCCCTTCTCCTATGCTTTGTAGCTTCTTTTATACATGCATCTTCAATAGAAAGACTTGCACAAACTCGACTCCGTCCTGCCCACCCGCCCTTAAAAACGTAAATATCCAAACATTTGTACCTACAAAATAATATGGAGAGGTTTGAAATTTAAATTTAGCCATTCCCTTAAAAGAAGTCCTTATTTCATTGTTTATTCCCCTCCTTCATACACATGTACATTTTAGAAAGGAAAAAAAACAAATGAAATGGTGGCATATGTGTATGATGCACCTACACCAATTTAGTATTCTCCCAAACTCACATCCAATATAAGAGCCATTGAACACAACTACATTTAGGGGCGCGGAATGGACACAGACCAATGGCTAATGTAGAAGTACCAAGATGATACAAAATCAGAAAAGATGTTCNGTTCTATAGCAAAAGTGAATAGTCTAAACAGGATATAAAATGCCAGACCAAAAAGGCCAGCAAGAAATGTCACTACTGGTTCTTTCGTTACACATACTTTCTCTATAAAGCACCCCACCCCCCACCCCCGCCTCAATGCTCACAGGAATGCACATTCAGTTTTTAAACATCTAAAAGTCGCATGACCAAGTATATAATACATTGCACAGTACCCGTAGAGCATTGACTAGCTGCAGTGGAAGGAAGCAAACCTCTCTGTATCTATCTATATCGCTGACCCATATTAAGCTCATGACCATACATTCCTTGGCTATTGCCAGCACCAGCAAAAGGATGCATTTGCTTCGAGGTCCCCCTGCCTTCCATCTCAAGAAGTCTCTGGATTGCTCCCGGAGGTTGATTAGTTCCACGGTTTATAATATCAGCTGCAATGAGAACAAAGTGAGATTTTGACAAAAAAGAAGTAATTCTTGCTTTCTAATGGAAGAGCAGTCGAATGCCAGTCTGGCAGGAACAGCAACTCAAAATTGTTGTCTAGTTCATCATATAATGATGAACCTTGAATGAAGTCATTTCAGACTAAAATGTCATAATTATTTAGTATCAGTATATAAAATTTACATTATCTAACTAATTTCTATAAAAAAAGATGAGCTTTTTATTATAAAAAAGGGTGAAAGTGTTTCCACCCAACTTTTTCTAAGGGCCGGCATGTGTTGTAAGTTTGCAAACAGATAGATCATAGAGAGAAAGGTGTTGGAAGGGGTGTCTTGGGCTAGAGAATGGGGCTGGGAGCATGGGGGTGAGGATGGAGTCGGGACCACCCCCATGCATAATAAAAGGAGCGTCCTAGCAAAAAGTGGGGTTGAAGTAGCCTCACCCATAAAGAATTGTTAAATACAGCCTCCATCAACTAAAAAAATTCTATTTCAATAGTTGTTTTGTTCCGAAGAAACAGTGGTTTTAAAGCTTCAATTCCTAACACTATGTTTGGTTCAAGGAATTGAGGAAGAAAGGAAAATGATAAGGAAAAGAAAAGAAAAGGAAAGAAACTCAAAATTCTAGTTATGTTTGGTTAAGATGAAAATTGATGAAGAAAATGTATTCTCAAGCTCTTTTTGTTTGGTTAGAAGGAAATTTGGTGGAATTGTGCAGATCTATGACAGTGTGAGGTCATGGTTGTATAAAACAAAAGATGATAAATCCATCAAAGAGGAACTGGTGGGAAACCTGGAGCTACTGGAAGGGGAGCTTTGGGAAGGGCCATATTTTGGTGAGGGGATGATTGGGTTTCAGAGACGGGAGAGATGGGCCATATTTTGGTGGCGAGAAGACATGGCAGAGACGGGAGCGATGGATTCTCTCGTTTTCCGTCCAAAATCGGGAGGAAAATGATTTTGCCCTTTTTTAATTCATTTTCTCCCCACTTTTATTTTCCTCTCACTTCTCCTTTCCTTTTCTCACTAACCAAACATAAAAAAACATTTCCCTCCTATTTTCTTTTCTTTTCTCAGCCAAAATCCGTGAACCACACGTAGTGTAAGTAAATTTCATGTAAATCCAAGTGGCAAGTAGATTTTTATTCAATTACTTACACTATGTTTGGTTCAAGGAATTTGGAAGGAAAAGAAAAGCAAATATTTTTCTCTCATTTTCCTCACCAAAATGGGAGGAATTTGATTTTCCCTCCATTTGGTACATTTTGCCTTCTCATTTCTTTTCCTTCCACTTTTCCTTTCTTTTCCCCTCTAACCAAACAACAAAAACTATTTTCCACTTCATTTTCTTTTCTTTTCCCTTTCAAATTCCTTGAACCAAACATAGTGTTAAAAGAGTCTTCGGAAAAAGTTTTAGGGTGGTCATTCATAACATGTAAAAGTTTATACTTGATAAACTTGACTAAAAAAAGTTAAGTTGTACCCAAAGATGACTCATTGTTGAGACAGAGGTATTAAACATCTTGGAACACATAATATGAGAATAAGACAGTGTGCTTATAGATTCATGGCTAAATACGAAAGAGAATAAGACAGTGTGCTTACAGATTCATTGCTAAATGCGAAAGAGAATAAGACAGTGAGCTTGCAGATTCATGGCTTAATGCGAAAGAGAATAAGAGATCACACATTGAAACCTTACCTCGCATTGGAACCCCAAAACCGTCAATGTTGGGTGGCTGCATCCCATATGATAACCCTTGCATTGGGTTCCGTTCCTGCAAAAGAGAAGCTGGCTGGTTGCCGCCAGGATGAGACATGGGACCACTTCTTATTTGGTCATGTAGCAAGTGGGGATAATTTCCTGGCATTTGCACCTGTTGCTTCAATGTAGGATGTTGGTTAAGAAGATCAAACCCTGTTTGATGAAACGGTTGACGCATCATATTTCCAGAAAACTGGTTCCTTGCCATATCTGGACCCATAACATTCATCTGTGAATTTGAATGTGCAGGAAGTGTCTCAAATGGATGAATGGATGATGATCTCCCTTGAGTCATTTGCATGGGATAAAACTGTGAAGATGACGGTTGAGCGGAAAGATTTTGGAACATCTCAGGCTCCAAATGATGATCTTGAGAGCTATGTAGAAAGGGCACACCTCTTGGACCAACTGTAGCACCAGGTAACAAGAACTCACCTCTATTCAAGTTTATATTATCCGCATGCAGTGGAACCTGGGGATGTACTGTGTTTCCACCACTAAATAATAAGCTATCCTCTTTGGGCAACCGTAATCCTAGTAGCCCATCAGGATCATTATTTTTGAACGAAGTCCAATCAGTTTGGTACTTTGAGTTAGGGTCAGTTAGAGAATCATCAAACCCTAATAACACTGGATTATCAAGTTTATTTGTTCTCTCTCTATCAACAAAGATACTATTGTCATTACTCACACTTCTGGAACCTCCCATGTTATCAATCTGTCCAAAAGCATTTGAGCCACTCTGGATAGAAACAGGAGCTTGCATGGATTGTAGCTCATTCATAAATGCAGTTCCAAAAAGTGTTTCAAGAGTTATTGTTTTACCAAGAGTGTGACTTCCTTCTTCCACTGACTTACTATTATCTTCAGCACAAGAATTAGAAATCTTATTGTTACCAAGATCTGGTCCTTTATGTAATAAAGAAAGAAGGTGCTGAGACGCGTGATCATCAACAGGCCCCTTTCTTGGTTCTTCGGGCACAGGATTTGTACTCCAACCTGGAAACAGTGATTGCAAATTCGAACTGTTTTCACTATACTCTGACAAAATAGTCTGCTCAAGATCTTCACATGTAAGGACGGATGGGACCACCTTGTCTCTATTAGATGCACATTGTGGTGGTTCACAATTCTCAGGTGTTGCAGCAGCTAGTACATTAGGCATAATGGTATCGGGGGTATCACCAGAGCACATAACATCACAAACTTGTGGTATGTGGTTATCACCGCCCACAATTAATGAAAGTAAATCACTTGGTGTATTAGATGTGGAATCACCTCCTTGCTTGGCTTCTACTGCAGTATGGTATATCACTACTTAGACAGGATATTCAAGAGTCATGACAAATAAGGTCAGAGATGGGGAAAGCATTGCAAACCTTCTTCAGAGAACCAATGTGCAAACTTCGAAGATTTAATGTTTCTTGAGCTCCTTTTATCATCAGGATTTGTATCTTCGTACTGTGTAGAGAAGAAAAGAAGCATATAGGTAAGCCGCAAGTAGGATGTAATAAGCATTAAATGTAATAAGGATTATATACAAAAGATCTTCTTTCAATTACGAAATCTAAAGCTATGGTATATTCGGATCATGAAAAATGAGAGGGGGGAAAATGCAAAGGTAGGTAAGAAGTAGTAAAAAACACATAAGATCTCCTTTCACTTAGGACAACCCACGACCATGGGAAGTTTGGAACTTCGAATCATGGAAAATGCTGAGGAATGTTATTTCTTATGTTTCAGTTTTTAAGTTCAAATTGCAAAGAAATTAAGGAATGTGAAAATTGTTTTTTTTTCTTTTTTAAATGCATTTAGATTTCTTAGTCTTTCTATAATAGGGAAAAAAATTGAACCACACAACGATTATTTTGTCACTGGGTTTTGGTGTCATAATATGAAAATCGAGCCCTATAAAGCTCTATTGGGCCTGAGACCATATCATACACCACTAACCCACCCCACAAACCACTACCCCCCCCCCCCCGCAGTTAACCAAAATGCGAGGGGACAGGGGGTTTTGGGTAGGACCCGGTCCCGGACCATACAAAGCACCATAGGGCCCCATATGACACTGAGTGTTTGTGTCAAAAGAACCAGGCTCTTTGAACAAATATGAAAAAGGTTTTCTTATTAAACAATACCTCATATTCATCAACAGCCAATGATGTAGAACTTCCAAAAATTTTATCCAGTATAGATGCTGACTGATTCAGGTTAGATTTATCTTCGAATTCCTCCGGTGAAAATACAGCACTAAGCCCTATGATTTCAGGATTTTCCTTGAGTTGTTTGGTACCCAAAATACCTGACGGATGATGTATGCTCTCACCCATACAATCCATTTTATTAGAATGATCTATCTGATCACCCTTCTTCAAAAGAGGTGCATTCATGCTTTTATCATCAAGCTGTTGGTCAATTGAGACAAGATTTTGTGATGATAGAGCTGCCTTTCCCTCTAAGCTATCAAAAATGACATTTTGTATGGGGTCCACCGCAGAATGTACTAAGCTTTCCACGGTTTCAGGTTTTCCAGCCTGTAGAAGTAATAAAAGACAGAATGAATGCATAAGATGGGTAAAATAGATTTATCAGCCACAGGACCATCCACCATAAGATGCCCAATTTCTCCTTTCACGCACTTGGCAGGAGGGACAGCACTAAAATGTGAGCCGATACAAATGTGCCCTAGCAAGATACCAATACAAACAAAGATGAAGAATTCACCTTTTTCAAAGAAGCGTTAGTCAAAACTTTATGTCCAGAATCCTTTTCCAAGAGGGCGCTTTTAAAACCTGGGGGTATAAGTGGTCTTGACACTGAACCTAGAGAAACAGAAGATTTCCCAGAACCATTATCAGTTTCAAGTGGAGTGGTAGATGCATCTGATTCCTTTCTTCCGAAGAGTTTTTCATCCTCTTTAACATCTTCTGCCAATGCAGACATGACTGAGTCCGAGGCACATTCAGTTTCAACTTCGTCCAGATTCAATATCTGCTTCTTTTGGGAAGCAGCACTATGTTGCTCCTTTCTCATCAACTCAAAAGATGCTGGTAAAAAAGTTGGTCAGAAAGATAATCTACTAGAGCTGATCTAACAGTAGTTGGGTTTTATCATGCAAGATTCTGGACACACAAAGCAATACCTCTCCTCTTCCTCTCCTCCTCCACTCTATCCTCACTTGCACAATCAACTGAACCAAATGTCTCGTTGTTGAATGAATCACTCGCATCTCTGCGAGATTGAGGTCCTGCCTAAAGAAGTTGCAGGTCATGAAAAAGAGTTCAAGAAAGACTCAACAAAATTATTTTTTATGCAACTTCAGAAGACTTCAAGAATGAAATGTGAACAGTTGATTTATGGTCCCGATGCTAATAAACAGCCTGGCCATAAAACCAAAGAGGTTAATAAATTAACCTTGTAAGGGCGGGGAGGATGATAAGGCTCATTGCTCTTATTAAATTGATAACTATCATTGCCCCGTGGTTTTGGAGTAGGCACTCCGGATGGTGTGTAAACAGATGGTCTTGGGAAAGAACCACTTCCAAGAAGCCCATCATGCTCAGAACTCCGCCCAAACCGCCGGAATTGATTGCCAGGACGCCTACTAGGTTCTACACGATATAACATGAGATTATTAGAACAGAGGATAAGAGTAAACAAGTTTGCACATTTTTTTATGGGATCACACTATACATGAGGGAAAGACACAATCACACCGAGGAGCAGGTACACAAAAACAGAACACACCAATAATGAAGGTAGATCAGCTTAGGTGATATACGACTCCCACTTATATGTCCAGATGAGGGCATACTCTACTCTCAAACATTGCGTTATGTATAAATTATTCTCCCTCCGTCCAAAAAAATGTCATGTTTGGTCAATGTACAACTTCTAGTTCTGCCAAGGTACACCCCTTAAATGTTATAGATTCCTATTATTAAAAACACTTCTTGGTTCAACTAAACTTATCATATTGAACTTGTTTGTAACTATTTTTGGCAAATTACATGACAATTGGCTTTCTTTCAATTCCGTTCAATGAAATATGACAATTTCTTGTGACAAAAGAATCTTTAAAAACATGACTGTTTTTACGAGGAAGGGAGTGTCCAACAGTTAGCTCCCAATCAATGTTTCTTGTAAACATAAACCTAAACAAGTTTCAAAAGTTTAGCTCCCAGACTCATTTCATTTTGATGTCATAGTATTCAATAAAATCATAGTACATCCAGCTACCGCCAATGCTTTCCCAAGCATTGGGTGTAATTAAATGTCCTACATCAAACACACACTTCCATCCATAATTGTCTGCTATTTAAAACTCCAATATAATAAGCCGGGTGCAGCAAATAGCTACGTACACTAAAATAAAACGATGCACATTAAATTGTCAGATGAACCTGAATCCCGAACAGATTGTGCATCACTTTCTTGATCACTGCGAGCAGAAAAACGGTTTTCCCATCGTCCAGAAACTCCTCTGTTAGGTGGGGATGAACCATACTCATGGCGTCTGAAGCCTTGTGAAGGAAATCCACCAGCAGTTCTTTGGCAATCAGGTGCAACCACACTCTCCAATTCACTGAAAAAAACAGAAGATGAACTAACGTCAGATGTTACTTTTTTTTTTGAAAGTAAATAATTTATTAGATGATTTGAGGGCACACAGGTAGCAGAGGCAGCAAAGATATCCATGCAATCAACCACATGCTTTCTATGAAAAGTAACCAACTTTATTAATCATACATTCATACCTAAGAATTGATTGATCAAGTCCAGTTGGAAGCTTCTGACATATCTCCAACTCACGCAATGACAAAAGGAACTCTCTTGTGTAAGATAATTTTGAATGCCTAATAAACGACAGAGGCATCCATGTAAATAATGCAAGTAAATGTCAATATTTTAGACAGAAGAATGATAAACACATGAGAACTTGATTACATACAATAGAATAAACAAATAACAGGCAAGAGTAGATTATTACGTCTCGCTATTTAAACCAGAGGAGCAATCCGGCAACTCTCGATCTTCACTGTCAAGAAGACTCATTCTGAATTATGGGGTGATAACTTTCCCACACCAGCTAATACAAGCATAATCTAAACTGAGAATTGCCCACCACAACAACCAACAATCTATCTACTCGTATTCATTATCACGAACCGTGGCCGATTAATAATCAACCCCTGGAGAGGCAAATAAACAATACATTCACTATAACTCAGTCACCAATCATCATAATTAGTTAATGCCGCCACCCCCATTATCACGAACAGCGGAATAAGAATCATATAAGAAATGGTAAAAATCGTACCAACAATCAATCCTAGCTCCACTCCATCAAAGTATCATTCAAGAAGACATTCATACAAATTCTAACTCAAACTCACACATCCACGCGATGATCTATAGAATTTACAACAAAGATTTCTCGAAACCAGAGCCGCAATCTCAACTTTTTATTTCGAAATACACAAACTTTCTTTCATATTTCTCTCGTGCTCCGATCTTTTTACGATTTCAGCGCTAGGGTTTACGGTTCTACCTGGATCGAGATAGGGAACAAAGATTGAGGTGGGGCTTCGATAGTTGCGAACTTGCCCCCACTTCTCCGACTAAATCGCAATACCTGAGAGAAAGATATACATACGTATAACTGCGCGTATATATATGTAGATACGGGGGGGGAGAGAGAGAGATTCCGGTGCGGGGCGGAGGAGATGGGTCCGATGTCTGGAGGGCGATGGTTGAGGAAGAAACCCACGAGAAAATGACGTAAGCTACGCTTCCCAGACGGAAGAACTCAGAATCCTCGTTTTCAATTCACGCGCGCGCCATTGCGTGGATTGTTGAGCTCGCGGTTTTGTAATTTTGTCGCTACGAGCGGAGTGCGTTCTCCTACTCGCTTCAAATGCGCGTCGTCTGATTGTGATACTCTAGTGTTTTTCAAAATTTTATCCAGAAGTATTTCCTCCATCCTAAAATGATCTTCCGGTTCAAATTACGGTGTTTGATTGAAATTATTTTTAATTTAATTTATTTAATTATTAATGTAAAATTAAAAAAATATATATACATTAACTACATCAAAAGTTCTATAAAACAAGAGATAATATGACTATATTATTTTATCAAATAACTAACAAAAATAAGTAAAAGAATGTAATTAAAGTTTGACTATATAAATAGTGACTAGAAAGATCATTTTATGACGGATGAAGTAAAACAAAAATACTCGAGGGACCTCAAACATTTGGCATCAAATGCACAACTTTCATAGATACGATGATACTTAATTTTTGTATGTGCACAAACATTGAGTATCTATGTGTGTCTGCGTTAAGTTTAGAAGTATTTGGTGCCAAATGTTTGGGTTCTCCCAAGCACCAATCAAAGTAAAAATAGCTAATTAAGTGGTCAATAAGATGCAAAAAAAGAGATATGTTAGGTGTACATTACATTGATGTACATCATTTATATACTAATATGTTACAAACATACACAGATAATATTTATTTGTACAAACATAGATAATTGTTATATGTGTGTATCTATAATACTCTAGTGTTCACCAATGTGGTGTACCCCTAGCATTTTCATGCAATAAAATATTATCATCAAGTAATCATGGTAAAAAGACATTGTCAGTGAGATGTTTATGTTTTGTTTAAGGATTTTGCATTGACTAGAGAAATTTCTCATTCACTTCCAACTAATTAAGATTATAGTTTTATTCACTTTTTCTTATCTAACTATTTAGGTTGAGACTCACAAGTCTGTACTCGGGATTTGCACTTAACCTATGGAAAGGAGGTTTGGTTATTTGCTCAACAGCTCCATACAAATCGAATTCACTCCTTATAATTTACTCTCTTTCTATTCGGGTTCAATATTGGATGATACTCTTTAAAGCATGTCAAATTGTTTATTTTTCTAAGGAATGGACACAAATTGTATGATATCATTTTTGTTGTAATCATATATGAACGGTGATGAAGATTAGGTCTCTCTGTTTGAGCGTAAGCACGTTAAATAAGACCATGTCTACCAAAATAACAAAAGACATAGGGTTGAAAGTCTAGTGATAAAGCGAGGGCTACTCGTTTAGAGACTTCAAGTCAAACTATATGACTTTTGGATGAGACTTCATTTTAAAAAGTTGTAATGTATATTAGCATACAAAAAATCTACTAGATTTATCATGTTGAAATTGTTTAAAACTTGATTGTATTGTATCAATATGCAATACATGTTCAGAATAATTGATTACTAAGACTTGTTTAGTTTGACTTGAAAAACGAAACATGACAAATACACATAGATGTAGAGAGTATGTCCCTAGTTGCCATCTTAAGATAAATTACCAGTAAGCTTCACGGTTGTGCATTCCTATGATATCCTTGATGACTAAGAGAGTGACATGACCAATACACATGGGCATTCATGAGCTGAACATACACTTGTCTTATAAAATAAAGTCACATGCACCTTCAGGCATCTTCCATAACAACTCAAGTTCATCCACGAAGCACAAAGGATGCAAAATTATACCGAAAATGTTGTGATATACTCATCAATGGCTACGTGCCTAACAAACAGAAGATGTTTTGCATGACCATTAGGGGAATATCAAGCGCTTGATAAGAAACAACGTCTAATCGACACGGGTCACATTCGATGAATGATGCATTGCACATGAGGGCTATTCATCATTCCCCTTCATTGTATACTTGTACTAACACACATTCAATACATAATACATCATAGCTTTTGTAATAATATTGCATATTTGTGATTGTGCATTAACTTTTTTGCTTTACATAGCTCTTGTGAGTAGACACTACTACTTTGACAACAATTTTAAATCATATTTGATGGTTTCTTGATCATGAAATATCTTATTCATCTCATGCCGACGTGTTTACATTTATATACTAGGTGCGATGATAATATTCATACTTTCTTCATTCTAAAATAATCAAATTATCCATTTTTACATTTGTCAATACATAAATTACGATAGAAATCTGCATCTAAAGTTTAGCTAAATTAATAAAATACTTTATCTATCGCTAAAATATATTTACATTTAACTTTTCAGGATCGTCAATGCGTTACTTTGATCATTAACGATTTATTTTTAAGTAAATAAATACTATAAAGCTGTATTGTATCAAGACTATTTTTAAATGTATAAAGTAGATTAACTAAATACGGAGGATGTATTTTACGTGGTCAAAGTTTATAAAGTTTAACTGGTGACAGGCCAAGCCTGATTAGACTGAGGTGTCTTGGGTGGATTAGGTTCCCCGCACCAATGAATCAAACTAAAGACGCATCCCCTAGCACTAGACACTAAAAATGACAAAGAAGAGAATCCAAATTTCATCTCCAGGGTCTTGTAAAGCTTTAGCTTGTAACTCTTCCATCATATTAATAACGATTAGATTACAAGTGTTATCGCTCATAGCTATTCTGGTCATTTTGCGTTCATTGTGTAAGTTACTTTATTGACTCAGTTTATCCTAGACACGGTCTAGAACTTTGATCTCTGCTCAACTAATTTACACCATCAAGGAGCATAAATGTCCTTTTAATGCTAAAAAGATTTTCAGGGGCGTGAGTGCACTATTTAAAAATTAAGAGATTTTACAAATAACTTTTAAAAATAGAAGGAATTTTAATGTACTTTTTGTAATCCACTAGGCACCCTTGTTATTAAGTTGTGCTCCGTTTATCTGATCTTGTCTGATTGTGGTTATATTTAAAGCTGTTTCTAATCTAGTATAAATTACTCCCTCCGCTCCAATTTGATTACAATTTTTTCCTATCGCCTCTCGATAACTTTTATTGTTTACGCGATTTCATTCTATATTTGATAAAAGAAAATATTCTTCTCACTTCTTGTTTTGTAGAACTTTTGACGTAGTCTTTTAAAATGTAACTTTCATTTCTTATCAATAAACTGATTTGTAAATAAAATAATTTTAAAAAGTGAGATATTTCTTCTTGTAAATTCTAATTTGTAATCAAATGGAGGCAGGATTATTAAATTTAATATGCATTTTAATTCCGTCCAAACAAAACAAAACACTGTGGCCTTGAGAAATTATCCATTCATCGGCCAAAAGATCTATTCAGATTTCAGAATTTCAGATTCTTCCCAGTTCTTCTATCTTCTTACCCGGTGAAGCGCACCGCAGAATTGCAGGAGCCAAACAACTCCCTTAAACTGAACTTGTCATTTCATCATCCTCCGGCACCGCCGCATCGCCGCCGCCTCCAATGGCTTCTTCATTACCGCTTCTCCACTCCGCCCCCTCCAAGTTCCACGCCCTGCTCCCACCGAATTATCTCCCCTTACAGACCCGGAACGCTGGAATTCGGCATCGCGATTTATATGTGAAGGCCGCTTCAGGGATAGTTCTGGTGGATAAAGCCGAATCCGAGAAGACCAATCGGCTCAAGACAGCATACGTGGAAAGAGTCGTTCCTCTGCTCAAAGAAGAGTTCAATTACAAGAACATTCACGAGGTTTGCTTCTGTCTTCTGAAACCCTAATTCATTTTAGGTTTTTTCCTGTTTGGTAATGGTGTTCATGCTTGATTAGAGTAGGTTCCACAGGTTATGAAGATAGTAGTGAACTGTGGGATTGGAGATGCTGCCCAAAATGCCAAGGGTCTGGAAGCTGCGATGAATGAACTGGCTCTAATCACAGGGCAAAGGCCTGTGAAGACGAGAGCTAAGAAGGCTGTTGCAACATTCAAAATTCGTGAAGGTCAGCCTGTCGGAATTTCTGTCACTCTTAGACGAAAGGTATACCATTTCTTCTGCATTTGACTGCTGGGCATCTCTCAGAATTTCATAGATATAATTCCATGTTTTTTTTAAATATCATCTATTTTTAACTTAATGAAAATTACTTATCAAGAGTTTTTTATACTCATTTTTTCCAAAAAAAAAACTTTTAGAATATTACTCCCTCTATAATAACACACACTCTATTTCCCTTCATTCCCTAAAGAGGCTTCCATTTTTTCCTTAAAAAGGAAATATGTGACTCACAACATTTATCTATCTTCTATTTGATATTGTTTTCCAAAGGGCACTTCACTGATTTTATAGATGATGACATGCTTAATTGCCTACCTTATGAAGTGTCATGAAGAAGTTGTAAATGGTATGGTATGCCAACTCTCATAAGCTTTGATTGTTAGGAAAAAGTTTCATCCTAACAACAACAACAAAAACACGGTATAATCCCAATGTAGTGGTGTGGGCTGAGTTCAAAGACCTTTAGACCATTTTCTCACGTGATAGATTCATTTGTTGGAAGTGGATACAAGTATACAACAACCACAAAACTCTCAGTATAATCCAACACCGCTGTGTTCTGGGGGTCAACTGTAAAAAACATAGAGGTTATCTCTCTTAGACCCTTAGATGTTACATTTACTACCCAAAATTTCATAAAAGGTAAGAAACAAAGAAGCTTAATGTATCATTTTGATTAGTCCATTATTTTTCGAAAGCTAAAGACTCTTTTCACTCCCCCTGTCAATGGATGCAAATTTATAACCATAAAATAGTTTTTTCAATGTACTTGTCTGGAGTATTTACAGATCTGAGAATTGATAGCATTCTATTTCCAGTAGCATTTTAAGAAATTATGCTTAAATGCTGTTGTTTCTTTGATTTCAGAACTCACCGCACTGTAACTGATGTCCAGAATGTGTTTTTGTATCGAAAGAGTAAGACCATTTGTTTTGAGTCTGTTTTTACTGC